ATATAAGGATATGGGAGTATATCGTTGTTCTTGTTGTAGCTTTACCGCTTCCTCGCTAGACGTACGAATTCCAAGTTCAATGAGATCATTCTCAAGAGGCTTTTTATGAGCAAGATACATCAGCCACCAATATCTCTTGCACGTGTGGTCAGGTTTATGAAGAAACCTGGTCGGGAAAATGCCATTGCGGTAATCGTTGGCACAGTAACAGATGATGCTAGGATTTTTGAAATTCCTAAATTGACAGTAAGTACTTTTACTTGTTTTGTACAAACGTTTTCAACAGGCAAATGCATCAGCTTAATTTATGAATCGTTTATCACAGGTCTGTGCTTTACGCGTTACTGAGAAAGCTAGAGCACGTATATTAAAGGCTGGAGGTGAATTGATCACTTTTGATCAATTGGCATTACGTGCACCTACAGGAAGGCGGACAGTTTTGATGCAGGGTCGCCGCAATGCCCGTGAGGCAGTGAAACACTTCGGACCTGCACCCGGTGTACCACATTCTCACACCAAACCACTGGTTCGGTCTAAAGGTCGCAAGTTTGAGCGAGCAAGGGGACGTAGGCGTAGCTGTGGTTATAAGAAATAAATTTTGTTTATTCGCCATAATTTATTAAACCATCGCCTTAAATTGATTTTACGACCATTTAGACATCTTGTCTATTTCTATTTTCTTTTGTATAATAAGTTAAGGTGATTGGAAAATAAATATTGGCTTCTTAACAATCGGTTATTACATTACTAAATCCTTAATCGAACGTAAAGTAAACAATTCATTACACATTATGTTTTCAGGTATATAATTTTAAGATGTTTCATTCATGTTCCCTTCCGGATTTTCCGTCGCCTCTTCTGGTTTTTCTTCGTCGTCCGATTGCGTTTCATCCGCGGCAGTAATATCCGGAAAGTATAACTCTGATTCTTCGATAGCTTTTTCTGGATTTTCACTCACGTGATAAGGTCCGATACCAGCGAATCCTAAAAATGTTTCGCACCCTATCTTTTTCACAACGCAGACGAATGTCTCGTAACTGAAAATTATCAGTAGAAAATTATTCTTCCGTAAACAGATATTACCTTATATCTTTTGGCGTACCCCGTCCTTTCTCTTGTATTTGACTCAAATTCTGTGATACTTTTCGCTAAAAGCTTCGCCTCTTGAGGTTTATCAGACTCGAAAATGCCAAAGTTAATTACTTCATCTTCAAATTCTTGCAAAATCATTTTGAGTTCGCTCTTTTTCGTGTAATCGTATTTAAATACAACTATGGGCACCTTGGCTGTTTTATCCTCATACTGTGCAAATGCAATATTTATCCAATTGTACACGTGCAATTTGTTCTTGCAAATAATTTGATACTCACTGGATATGTATTGTTAGTATATGTTGCAAAAATGTTGCGAAAGACAATTGCTTTGTTTCGAGGATTTGGCGGTGTCCACACAAGTGGAAAAACTTCGTTTTCATTCTCACTTGTTACATAGCTAGGACGATGTCGACCTGCAAAACTATAGGAAATAATATTTTTATTCAATAATATTATCAAATATTAATTGTTGAATATTGATTCGGCATTTATATACCACTCTTCATTGAGACTCTTTTCTGCAGTGGGTAATTCTGCTTCTCCAAATAAAAGACTTATCAAATGCTCATGTATATCAGTTTCCGATTTCGTTTCGCTTACTTTCAAACGCATGAACATACATTTACCATCCATAAGTAGTTTTTTTGCATTCGATGTTAACGTGTAATCGGACTATAAAAATGTTTCATTACAACCATTAATAATTTGTTTAATCGTAGACGTAGATGTATCTAACGATTGAAAATTATGCATTACTTCATTAAACATGGAGCTGAGAATATCTTCGTTAAGACGTTTTCGTATTTCGTGTTCAATAGCATAATTTCCCGGTAAAATTTCTTCGACTAATTCTACGTATGGGGGGCTTGATCTTTTGTCTCTTTTATGACCTTCTTCGTCTTTAAAAACCCATGGGTAAAGCAGCAGACAAGTTTCTTTACTTAGCGAAGTGATCAAATGCAACATTTCAGCTTCGTACCGCGCTACAGCTTCAGCTTCTACATTCACGATGAATAAATGCATTCAATTACGTTATCAGAATTCGCGCAGGAAAGCAGTGCAATTTCACAAGTGCCAGTAATTGCTATTCTAAATTGCAGAATGTGCATATTTTTTATAACAAATGTCATGCGAAACCTTTCCGAGCCCTTTTTGCCGTTTCTTTGGCTATTCTAGTTTCTTCAATAATTTGCAATCGTTTTATTTCTTCCGGACTTCTCTCTGATACATCTAAAGAAAACCTGCGCGTGCACAATGTAAAAAATAACTATTCTTAAGTTGCTTTAGAATTATACTTATAGTCATCTTCCTTTGAACATACTCGTGTTCTTCGTCATTTTGTACGCGTTGTAATTCCATTGTTAACATTTTTAATAATTGTGGACACTGAGCACCAAACATTAGATTCACCATACGACCGTTCTGTATAGTTGTTTTTAATAACTTTTAATCTTGCTAAAAAGTTCATTTAGATTATCGGACTTACGTGTATGAACATCCACGTTGGTTCGCTCTTTCCTTGAAAACGCTCCAAGGCGGTAATATAATCACATTTCGCCTATTCATAATAATTTACTTACTTTCATTTAGTGTGTAAACATCTATAT